TGATGCGAACGAGAAGGTCTGAGCCATCCCCGACGACCTGTTGGCCTCCTCCTCCTCCTCCTCGAAACCTCCCCGTCCTCTCCTCTTGCTGCCCTCCTGAACCCATCGCCTCGCCCACGGCGCTGAGACTTCCTCCCTCCCATACCCCTCCCCTCTCCTCCTCCTCCTCCTTCCTCCTCCTCCTCCTCTGCTCTATCCCACGGTCCTTCCGGCCATGATGATGGAGACCAAGCATGGCTGAAAGGATAGTCAAGTCTGCGCTCCTCGTCCTCGTCCTCGACGTCGTCGTCCTCCGACGCTTCAGGGTCAGACGTGGACAGCAGGAACGGAAACGTCTCCTCCTCCTCTAAGCCTCCTCCCAGCATGAAGAAATCCTGCGGAAGAGTCGCTGCTCGTTTTGGCTCCTCCTGCTGCTTCCTGAGCCTGCGAGGAGGAATGGAAGGAAAGGGAGGGAGACCGCTGCTCCTGCTCCTCCTCCTTCCCCCTCTGTCTCCCTCGCCCTCCTCCTTCACCTTCACTAACTCTTGTCTCCTTTCAACACGCCCGGCTCCCTCCTCGTCCTTCCTCCCCCTCCTCTCTTTCTTGGCTTCCTCGCCTCCTGGACCCATCGCCTCCTCCCCATTCCTCAGGGGCTTCAGCGTGTCCGAGAGGGTGCGGGGAGGGGGGAGGGAGGCGTGAGAGGCGGAGAGCGAGCGAATGACGGCAAGAGATGTCGAAGAGGAGGACGGCTGTTGGCTGCGAGGAGCGAGGAGATCTCCTGTTACCTTGCTGCTCGTCCTCTTGTTCCTCTCACTCCTCTCCAACTCCTTGCTGGCTGGATTTCTGTTCTCTTGTTGCTTTCCGGTGGTTGTCTTGGGTAGCTGTTGCTTTCTTGTGGATAGTTTGTCTTGTTGTTGTTTGCCAGTTGTTGTTGTTGACAGTTGTTGTTGTCTCCAAATGGATACCTTCTCTTCCTTTTTCCCTGCACTTGTTTTTGATAATTGTTTCCCAACAGATATCTTCTCGTGTTTTTGTTGTCCTTTCGTTGTCTTCTCTTGCTGTTGTTTTGGTTCTTTAGAAATATTCCCTTGTTGTTGTTTTCCTTGAGACAACTTCTTCTCTCGTTGTGGTAGTTGTTGTCCTTCGGGCATCTTTTCCCGTTGTTTGCTCTGTGAAGATTTCTTTTCTTGTACAACTTTGTCTGTGTTTGCTTGTCTGTTTCCTATCACAATCTGCTCTCCATTCGTCTCCTCACGCGCATCCTCCTCCTCCTCCTCCTCCTCCTCCTCCTCCTCCTCCTCCTCCTCCTCCTCCTCCTCCTCCTCCTCCTCCTCCCCTCCCCTCCCCTCCTCTCCTCCTTGTTCTACGTGAACGACCTTGCTTCCTTCTCCCTCTGCCTCCTCCCCCCCGTTCCAGGCGCATCTACATGCTCCTCCTCTCCTTCGCTCCTCCTCTCCTCTCGTGCAGATGCTGCCGGAAGCTCCGATGCTATCGAGTCTCCTTCAACAGATCGCGTGGAAGCCTTGTAAGACACAACAATCAGAGGGAAGAGCAGAGAGGGAGAGGGAGGAGAGGAGAAAAAAGGAGAGCACAGCACAGCACAGCATAGAAGAGCAGAGCACAGCACAGCACAGCACAGCACAGCACAGCACAGCATAGCACAGCACAGCACAGCACAGCACAGCACAGCACAGCACAGCAGAGAGCAGGAGAGGTTCAAGTCACTTGTCCACCTGGTTCTTCGGGTTTGAGCAACGGCACAACAAGCACAGGCACTTCTTGCATATCCCCATCTCCTCCAGCTGCTGATCGATAGACCTGTCTACATCCTCTACCTCATGCACCCCTTCCGCTCCTGCTGCTCCCGCTCCCGCTCCCGCTCCTGCTCCCGCTCCCGCTCCTGCTCCTGCTCCTGCTCCTGCTCCTGCTCCTGCTCCTGCTCCTGCTCCTGCTCCTGCTCCTGCTCCTGCTCCCGCTCCCGCTCCCGCTCCTCGCTTCACCATGTCCTCGCTCTCCTTCCCCTCAGCCCCGGCCATCGCCTCCTGCAGCATCCTCGTCAGTTCTCGTCTCGTCGCCTCCTCTCACTCACCTTCTCTTCTCCTTCGCTTATTCCCCGCAGCTCCTTGTCAGCAATCCCCTTCTTCGTCACCTCCCCCTCCAGGACCAACCCTTTCTCCTCCTCCTCCTCCTCCTTCTCCTCCTCCTGTTGCTGCTGCTGCTCCTCCTCCTCCTGCGTGGGCAGCGGCGAGGGCGAGGGAAGAAGCAGCTCCTTTTCTTGCTCCTGCTCCTCCTCCTCCTCCTGCTCCTGTTTTTCCTCTTTCCACACGACTTCAGTTGCGACTTTTCTGCCTAGTGCTTCCTCCCCTTTTTCTCCCCTCCTTCCCTTCCTTCACTGCAGCCTCCTCCTCCTCCTCCTCCTCCTCCTCCTCCTCCTCCTCCTCCTCCTCCTCCTCCTCCTCCTCCTCCTCCTCCTCCTCCTCCTCCTCCTGCCTCTCTTCCTCCTCTTGCTCCTCCTCTTTCC